CAAGTAGAGACACATCAAGGAAAGAAAATTTTAAATCAATATCCCTCATGAACATTGATGTAAAAATTCTCAATAAATTTCTGGCAAATTATATACAAAAACATAAAAATATAGTGCACCAGATTGAGTGGGTTTATTCCAGGGATGGAAGGTTGGTTCAAAAAAATATAATTCATCACATCAATAGACTTAAAAAATCATATGATTATACCAATTGATGCAGAGAAAGCACTTGACAAAATACACCACCCCTTCATGTTCAAAATACTAGAAAAACTAGGAATAGTAGGAACATACCTCAACATTGTAAAAGCTATCTATGTTAAACCCAAGGCCAACATCATTCTAAATGGAGAAAAATTGGAAGCATTCCATCTAAAAACTGGAACAAGGCAGGGATTCCCTCCTTCAGCATTTCTATTCAACATAATACTTGAAACTCTAGCCACAGCAATTAGACAGATGAAAGAAATTAAAAGGATATGAATAGGAAAAGAAGAACTCAAACTATCATTTGCTGACGACATAATTCTACACTAACAGGATAAAAAAAACTCCATCAGAAAACTTCTAGAATTAATAAATAAATTCAGCAAAGTAGCACGATATAAAATCAATACCTATAAATCAAATGCTTTTCTATATATCAGTGATGAATCCTCTGAAAAAGAAATTAGGAAAACTACCCCATTCACAATAGCCTCAAAAAAATAAGACAAAACAAAATACTTGGGAATCAACTTAACAAAAGAGGTGAAAGACCTCTACAATGAAGACTACAGAACACTAAAGAAAGAAATCAAAGAAGTCCTCAGAATATGAAAAGATCTCCTGCACTCTTGGATAGACAAAATTAATATTGTCAAATGGTCATACTACCCAAAGTGCTATACAGACTCAATGTGATTTCAATTAAAATCCCAGCATCATTCCTTATAGAATAGAAAAAGCAATCATGAAATTCCTTTGGAAAAATAAGAGACCCAGAATAGCCAAAGCAATCTTTAGTAAGAAGAGTGAAGCAGGAGGCATCACAATACTAGACCTTAAACAAAATTACAAAGCTGTAGTAACAAAACAGCATGGTATTGGCACCAAAATAGACATGTAGACCAATGGTATAGAATAGAAGACACAGAGACAAGCCCACATAAATAGAGTTATCCCATAGATGGGAAATCCCATAGATAAGATATCTCTTGTATCTCTAGACCAAGGAGCCAAAAACATACATTGGAGAAAAGATAGCCTCTTCAACAAATGGTGCTGGGAGAACTGGAAATCCATATGCAGCAAAACGAAAATAAACCCCTATTTCTCACCATGCACAAAACTCAAAGTAGATCAATGATCTAGGAATTAGACCAGAGACCCTGAGCCTAATAGAGGAAAAAGTAGGCCCAAATGTTCATCATGTCAGATCAACTCCTGAATTCTATAACAAGACTCCTAAAGCACAAGAAATAAAATCAAGAATTAATAAATGGAATGGATTCAAACTAAAAAACTTCTTCTCAACAAAAGAAACAATCAATGAGGTGAAGAGAGAGTCTACATTTTGGGGGCTAATTTTTGCCACACGCACATCAGATAGAGCACTAATCTCCATGATATGTGAAGAAATCAAAAAACTTAACACTAAAAATACAAACAACCCAATCAATAAATGGCCTAAGAAACTGAACAGATACTTCTCAGAACAAGATATATGATCAATCAATAAATAGATAAAAAATGCCCAACATGTCTAGTAATTAGAGAAATGCAAATCAAAACTACTCTAAGATTTAATCTCAAGCCACTCAGAATGGTAATTATCAAGAATACAAACAACAATAAGTGTTGGCAAGGATGTGGGGGAAAAGCCACACTCATAGATTGGTTGCACCAATTTGCAGTCCCACCAGCAATCTGGAAAGCAGTATGGAGATTCCTTAGAAAATTTGGAATAGAACCATCATTTGACCCAGCTATTCCACTCCTCGATCTATATCCAAAGGACTTAAAGAATCAGTATACTATCATAATGCAGCCACATCAGTGTTCATAGCAGCTCAATTCACAATAGCTAAACTGTGGAGCCAACCTAGATACCCTTCAGTGGATGAATGGATTAAAAAATGTGGCATATATACATGATGGAATTTTACTCATCAATAAAAGAGAATAAAATCATGGCATGTGCAGGTAAATAGATAGAGTTGGAGAATACCATGCTAAGTGAAGCTAGCCAATCCCAAAAAACCAAATGACGAATGTTTTCTGATATAAGGAGGCTGACTCATAGTGGGGTAGGGAGGGGGAGCATGGGAGGAATAGATGAATTCTAGATAGGGCAGAGGGGTGGGAGAGAAAGGGAGGGAGCAGGGGATTAGCAATGATGGTGGAATATGATAGACATCATTATCCAAAGTACATGTATGAAGACACAAATTGGTGTCAACATACTTTATATACAACTTTATGCTGTATAAGTGTAATAAGAATTGTAATGCATTCCACTGTCATTTATTTTTTTAAAAAATTAAAATTAAAATTAAAAATTAAAAAAAATTTAAAAAGAAAACAGTTCATAATGAGATTACAATAAATAACACCTGATCATAATAGTTTAAAAAAATAGGAATAAACAATGCAATTGGTTACCTCAAGGCAAATGGAAACTACAACCCCATGCAAAACATGGATAAGTCTCACAAATATAACATTGAACAAATGTAGTCAAGCATGCAAAAGATTTTATGCAATTCATATGTAAAAGACTCAAAAATAGGCAAAAAAATCTGAATAATAATTATTCTCAAAGTGGAGTAGTAACTTGAAAGAATTAGAGATATCCATGATGCTGGTGGTGTTCTCTGTCTAGATCTAGGTATTGGTTACTCATTTCCTAAGAATTCATCTACCTACATGTTTATTATCTATGCACTTGCCCTTATATATTTTCTATTTCCATTAAAAATAACAAAGCAAAGCTTCCCATCCATGTTCCATCGGACTCTATCACCTAAAAACTATTATTAGGCAGTTCTTCCATATGAGTGAAGTCTTTGCTTGGTGTGGTGGTGCACACCTTAATCCCAGAGGCTTGGGTTGCTAAGCCAGGAGGCTCCTGAGTTCAAAGCCAGCCTCAGCAACTCAGTGAGACCCTGTTTCTAAATAAAATATAAAAAAAAGGTTGGGGATCTGGTTCAACAGTTAAGCACCCCTGAGTTCAATCCTCGGTACCAAAAAAGAAAAAACAGAGTGTGGTATTCATTAAGTTTGAGAAATGCCGAGGACACATTTTAGATTTCCATTCTATAGATTGTTTTAAATCAATGAATGTGACCCTACTGACGCTCCCCTGAGACTTCTTTTCTACTCATGCTGCCCCACTTCCCGTTTCTCTAAGGTCTCTTTCAGTACCCCAAATTGTGGTCACAACAGAAGCTGCATAAAAGAATATGGGCTAGTACATACAGTTTACACCCTGACTGGAACAAAAACTATCTGGATGGAGCACACGCTCTCTATGTTCAACTGATCTTTAGCACAACCTTTGCCTGGAGGCAGTCACATTCAAAATACAGCACAGCCTGCCCTTTAGAATGCGCATTTCCATTCAGTGCTCTTGAGCCCATATGATGTCACAGGAATACACACATTTCAGATCATTTGCAAATTGGATACAGTGAAGGAATACAGAAAAGCAGATTTTTTAAGTAAAGCTTTTCACAACTGTGATTTAGGAATGCTCAAATACTCCTAGCATTCTCACGGGTTTCCAGCTTAAAAAATCAATTTCTTCCAAATACTTGAAAGTTATCATGAATCTACTGTTACAATCACCTAATTTTTCTAGTCACCTATGTTAAAATGAAATCACTGCTTCTTTACAGCTAGCATTGTGGTTGTTCCCAGTGGGGCAGAGAGCTGCACACATGCTTCAAGCTCTTGCCTCTTTTCTTTTGAGACTTTTTCCACTTTTTTGTTACCATAAGTAAGGGTGTGAAATTTAAGGGCTATCTTTGTGAATACAGAAAAATAACTCACACTATTCTGTTACCTTTAAGACATTTTTTCACAACTTTAGCTATTTTACTTGGCTTAACCAAATAGCTAGTTCACTTTTGACTATTCATTTTTGCCAAGTTTTACTGGAAAACACCTACATTTAGTTTAATGCTTTTTATGGGAGTGTTGAGGGGCACAGCCCTTGTGCCTTCAAAATGTCAAATAAACAATTTGTCTGAAGTCCATCATTTCTCATCTAGGCATCTGAGTGTCAAGTTTTTTTTATTTTATTTTCTATAATCCATTAGACATACCACATACCATCTTCTGCTCTGATTTAATGAAGACAAAAAAAATCAGACTGGGTATTCCAAACCAATGTTTTAAGCCAAGGAATTCATAAAAGTAATCATCATAATTATATTGATTTCCATCATTAGAATTCAATTCTATATTGCAAAACAATCTAGAATAAGCTACCGTTGTGATGTCCAGTTCAGTGGAAAACTATCTGGATTAGGAAACATGGCTTTTTTCTCAAAGCATACTTACTCAGAAGACCATATTGCAAACACCAGTCTACATGAGGCTTAGTGAATAAAGAATAAGCACAATTATATCTGAGAATGCAAAGGCCAATGGGAAAAACAGAGATGCAGATAAATAAAATTAAGAAAAAATGTTACAAATGTTAATTTGCAAACCACAGGCATAGCTATACAACCTAAAGCAAATGTGAAAAGTGTATGATAAAATGACTACTGGACTGGTGTCAGGTACAAGACATGGTGAACAATCTCTAAAATAACATTTTGAATGTGTTTGCACCATAGCAAGGAAAAGCATTCCAACTGAACAATGGAGTATAAGCACGACAAGTTTACTAAAGAGCAAAAATACTTATAGTTTTAATCAGAAAGAATTTCTACTACTGTCAAAAAAATAACAGTAAATTTCATGATCGTTTAATTCATGTTCATATGACCAGAAACAATTGCACTTACCTCATTTAAGTCCTGCTGAGTTTCAAAAGCATCCTTTGGCCAATTGGTAGCCCTCTGGTCTATTCTGTAAGATACAAAGAAAATTATGTCCATTTAAAAGAAACCTTTCAACAATGCACAGTTGAAGCTGGTAGCTATAGATCTGACAATACCTCTGTTAAAATCCCTTAGTGAGGTCCCCTGACTAGAGAATAAAATCTAGACTCCTGAAAATGAACTGGGACACATTATTGTGTTTGGTGGGGCCTTTCTAACACCGTCTCCTACCAGTCTCATCCTTGTCCACACACCCCAGGCACCCTAGCTTTCTGTTTCTTGAACACATAGTACTTGTCTGCTGTTCAAACTTCTGTACTTGCCGTCTCTGGGCCCAGGCTGCTCTCCCGCAAGGTCTGAACACAATTGACTCTCCTCATCACCTAAGCATTAGCTCAGCTCACATATCACCTCCCAAAGAACACCTCCTGACCTCCCTAATCAGAAGCAGCCCTCCTCCTCACGCCCTAGTACTGTCCCGTACATTTTATTCTTGGTGTGTCTTATTATCTGAAATTATGTGTTTATTGGCACTTCTGCACTAAAATGTACAAGAAAGCATTAATTATGTTCATTTTATACACTGCTAAATCCTCAATACATGGTAGAAGTTTAATAATTTTTGAGTGAATGAATATTATCTGATACAGTTGCTACGAAAGATACTATTTATTCACTAAAGTCAGATTTTTAGAAATCTTATCTTCTAATCTACACAATAAATGTTACAGTGTTAGCTTACATGGTAAAGCTGGATTTTGTCACTACATAATTTCCAGTACAAGAAAAAGGACTTAAAGGAAACCATATCACTTTGAGTCAATTTTCTTTAGTTTAAAAAAAGAAAAGAAAAAAAAAAGTCTTACTGCTGATAGTGCTGACAGATGCTTAGGTCCAAATCATGATTTGGCAAATTCTAAGTCCCAACAGCATCTGTTACACAGCATTCAAGTTTTTTTCTGCAGCAGTATGCAAGACATTATATAATAAACATTACATTATAGTTATTATCCTTATAAAAAAAGGCCAGCTATCTTAATGAATAAGAGATTTAGTCAGTAAGTTATTTATAAAAAAGATTTATTTGGGGATGTAATTAATTCTTGCTATTATTCTGCCCCAATTTGAATCTTAAAGAATATTTCTTCTCTGAATGGTCAATAGGATTAATGATTTCTAAGTGTCACTTAGAAATGTGCATTTAGAAATGCCATAAGCTCAACCTCAAATGTTCTTAAGAATGAGAATTCTTTCAGGCTACTGGTGTTGTTAACTGTATACTTTATTTATTTACTTATTTTTTGGACAGGGAGATGGGGTCTTGCTATGTTGCCCAGGCAGGTCTGCACCCTTCTTCCTTAGACTCCCAAGTAGCTATAAGCCCCACCATGGCATGCACCCACCATACCTGATTCAAGCAATTTGCTTCAAGTGAGAAAAATAAGGATATGGTTAAAAAAAAAAATAGCCTGATGCCTTCCACACTTATACAATCAGCAGACCAATGACTGGCCAGTGGTTCTCAAACAATGTTTATAAGAGTTATGGTAGCACCCGAAAAATGGAAGAGCTGTTTCTGAATAGGGGGAATATTTCCCAGTTTACACCTTTCAAACATAAATTTTTATGGGGCTTTGGACTCAGCTCCCTGTTGATGAGTGACAGGAGATGGCAAAAGAAATGGCAAACACGAATGGAGGCGGGAAGAAATCTACTGTGCAAAAAAAATGCAGTGTATGTTATGGAGATGCAGAGAACAGCCTTTGTATAGTACCACATAATCTCACATAAAACTCCTAACCATTACATAAACCTCCAAAACAAGTTTGATAACCATAGTCTGAAACATCGAAGTACTTTAATTTACTAATCATCTGAATGTCTATTGGTACATGCCTGGTACTAGGGACAGAGATAAACCTTTCTCTTTGTTGGAGAAATAATATAACAACAATGAAAAGAAGCAGAGTCTGTGCCTTAAGGAATCTTAAAATCTAATGGAATCTTAAAGGATAAAACTAATGAACACATAGCCTTGAGGATATTCTAGTGAATACAAGCATGGGACATGATGTTAGAACACTAGAGAGGAATTCGAGAGGTAGAGGCTAGTAAAAGACATTTTTCAAAGATAAAGCAACCAAGAGGCTTTGGGAATGAATTCAAAATATGAAATGAAGAGATGGGAGGATCAAAATGATTCCAAAGTTGTGAGCCTATGTGGCAAGAAAAATGAGAGGTGATTTTTTTAATAATGTAATATTAGAAAAATATATAATTTGGAGAGAGAAAGAGAGGTAATAAATTCAGATTTAGATATTCAAAGTTGAGATAAGGCTGAAATAGAGAAGTAAAAACAGCTGGTCAGGGTTCACATAAGACATGAGCATGGGGGCACCCGCTCATGTCTCATGTGTTCAGCAGAGCACAAGTGATGATGACAGTGATCAGCAGAGCACAAGTGATGATGACAATGATCACTGTGACCCCAGGTGAGGTCACATGGTCAGGTCCTATACCAATTTTTTCCTCACTGTGTAGACAGAGCCTAGCTTTGTGCCCCGCATATGGTGCATTGCCAGTACAAATACCATTTTAGATGAATAGATAAACAGAAAAAAAAATAAACCCAAGAATGAGTTCTAATCTATTGCTTACTAGGTCTGTACTCCTGGTGTATATACCTCTTGGAGTCTCAGTTTCCTCACCTGTAAAATGAAGATAATGATAGCTACCTCATGGGCTTTCATGATGTTAAGGATAGTTGGTGAATAATACATTTAATATAGCTAACAGCAATAGAAAATAACACATGAATTCCATAACCATAAGAATTCCATATTAGAATGATCATAATTATAATTAATGGTATATTTCATTAATGAGATTAAAGTCTGGTTAATAAGCTGAAGGAGAGAAGAAATCAAGGCCATTTAGAAAACAAGAGAGACAAGCTATGAAGAAAATACAGAAGCATCTCTAAGGAGGCAAGAAGTTAACTGGAATCAGTGTTCTAAATACCAGCGAAGGAAGTTATAAGAAATGGGAGTGCTATAGTTTAGATACAAGGTGTCCCCAAAAATTTCATGTGTGAGACAATTCAAGAAAGTTCAGTGGTGAAATTCTTGAACTACGAGAGCCTAAACCTAATCAGTGGATCATCCACTGATATGAATTAACTGGGAGGAAACTATAGGCAGGTAGAGTGATTGGAGGACGTGGGTCAAAGGGGGCATGCCCTTGGGGTTTATATCTTGTCTTCCATGAGGAACACTCTCTCTGCTCCCTTGTCTCCATGTCCTTAACTACTTTCTTCCACCTATGATGTTCTGTCTCACCTCAGGCCCAGAACAATGGAGTTGGCCAATTATACTGAGACCTCTATAACCATGAGTCCCAAATAAACTGTCCCTCCTGTACCTTGTTCTTGTCAGGTCTTTTGGTTGCAGCAGAGAAAAATGCTAAGACAGGGAGCATGAAGAGGCTCCTAACCCTTCACCAGCCCTTACTATGCCAAGCTGGGTAGGCCAGACAGTCTACGTACATAATAATGTACATAGTAATGTCCATGGTAACCATATGTATTAGTACATCTATTTGACTTAACAGGTAAAAGGACAGTTAAAAAACTTCATTCAAAAAATATGTGTTAAGCCCTGACTATGTCAGGTACTATTCTAGTGTTGGAAATAAAAACATAGACAAAGCAGTCTGTCCTTGTGGAATGTTTATTCCAATGGGAGAAGAGAGAATATAAAGAAATAAAACAGAATAATCTATAATGCACCAAATGCTAGGTTTTATAGAGGAATAGAAAGCAGGGAACACAGGACCTGCAGAAGGACTGTCCAAGCTCATGCTTCCATGAAGTGTAAGTCATCCAGAGACAATGAGATCAAAAACAGTGGATTAAAAAAGATAAAGGTCATGGCAGAAGAGGAAAAAGGAACCTTCCCACCTGGTAAAGTACAGCAGTGAGAAGAGGAGAAATAGTACAGTAGCCGTCTCAAATCCTCTTTTAATATTTTTAAAGATATTGCTCAAGCCATGCACAATCCTGCCAGGAAGAGAGCCTACTCACAAACTATCACGCTGAAACACCCCACCCCCAAATTCTTCTGCCTCCTTCCACCCACAACAATAAAAGCGAAGTGATTAGCACATCTATATCCAATTTCACTTCTGGAGGGGGCAAAGATGAGTAAGTGAGTCAGTAATCTGCCACTCTATTATAATCTTGCCTTCTAGCCCAGGCTTCAGTAATGGGAAATTTAGTCTGCTTCTCAGAGCCCAACCGCAGTCCTTGGTAGTAATGAGTGCATCACGGCTCCAATCACCACCCTCATTACCTTCAAGCCTGCCATCATACACACCAAAGTTGCCACCATCAGCATCATCCACAATGCCATCACCATCACCCATAATGCCATCACCATCACCAACACCATTGTCATTATCACCACTAGTACTGCAAACACCATCACCAACAGCACCATCGCCGCCACTACCACCACCTCCACCAGCACCACCACCACCATCGCCACCATACACACTACCATTGCTACTACCACTATATCATTCAAAATAAAAACTTTTCAACTGAGAAATACAGAACTTAATTTTGTTCTGATATTAAAGAGTTCTCCCTGGATTCTGTGACTACAGACTTGTGGACAGCCTCTTGAAGTGCAACTTTTCTAAAAATTGTTCATGTTTCTATTTTTCCAGAACCCTCTAGTATGTGCTGAGTCGGGGTCATCCTGCAGTGGATCTCTCTTTGGACAAGTAATGGAATTCAAAACAGCCAAGCCAACTAAGCATTATAGTATTTTTCTTAGCCGAGAACAACATCAAACCACAGAATACAGTATTTTGTGAAAAAGCCACATTTTAGCTTAAGATTTTATATTTATATTTATATCAACATTTTATAATTAAGTTAATAGAGAAACACGTTCCCTTTCTCAGTGAAAAGATTGCCATCTAGTTCATGGAAGACACTTGAGAGTTATCTGAAACATTCCTCTC